GAATGGGCTCATCCTTGTACCCTTCAGGGTAGAACTTCGTTGTACTATAACACCACCAAATATCACAACACCCTGTTCATCTGGCTATTTAAACATACCAATGTGGCCCTTGTTTTGCATAAGTTGGGTCTTGGAAAAGACTTGTAAATAAACAATGGTTAGACTTTCACCGAAGTGCTAAGTTCATTGAACACTCCCCTGAAAGCTTTAAAGCCAGCCTAGCCAAGATTTATAATAGGAATTTTGGGGACCAGCAGTTAGCGTAATGGCTATGTCGCTGGACTCTCACACAGTCAACCGTGGTTTGAATCCCGGACCCAGTGTCTTAAACTCACGCCTGGAGTGTGTGCGTGCGTGCCCAAGATCCCAAGAAGAGAATGGAGGAGACGGGATTGCGGCATGGTCATCCCCCCAGGGGGTGATTTCTTGCTTTCTGTCTCTCTGTCTCTCTCTATCTGGCGAGCGCACACGCCCTATAGCAAAAAAAAAAAAAATAGAATTTTGTATAGTCTTTTTTTTTTTTAGGTTTTTGCCTTAGGGCACATGCGCTAACTGGAGAGAGAAGAGATAGAGACAGTGACAGTGACAAGTAAAGTGAGAAATCACCTCCCAGGGGAAATGTCCATGCCACAACCCCTTCTCCTCCATTCTCCTCTGGGGATCTCGGGCGAACACGGTATGAGTTTCAAGCCACCAGGTCCATGAACTGAACCACAGTCAGCCATGTGAGAATCCAGCAACTTAACTGCTATGCCATCTGTTGCCCCAGTATAGTAATTAAATGCCTGGATTTCAGCAGTTAGGACTGAGATTCAGAATCAGCTATATTTTTTAACAAGCTATATAATGTTGAACAAGCCACTAAGTCCTTAAAAATTCTTTACTAGACTTTACAAGTCCCCATGTGATCAGGCTTCTATCTCCCAGACCTCATCTATTTCCACTCTCTCACTCTTTAAACTGCCATGACCTACCAAGCTCATTCCCCCCTCAGGGCCTTGGCCTTTGCTGTCTGCTCTTCCCAAGTCTTACCTGTCTACTCTTCATTTCTCAGATCTCAGGTCAAATGTCAAAGAGCCACCTCTCGATGTGGTGATTAAGGTGCTAGACCCTGTGACTTGAAAATTACACTGGGCACATGCATGCACCTGCCTGAAACCCTGAGAGGAGAATAGAGAAGGGATTGTGGCAAGGCCATCCTTTACAGGGAGTGATTTCTCGCTTTCTTTCTCACTATCTCTGTCGCCCTGGTGAGTGCACATTCCCAGGACAAAAAATACACACAAGAAAAAAAAGCCACCTTTAGAATCTCAGAAACATAATGTTGAGCAATGTTGGGTATTTGTATGCATATTGTATGGTTCCATTTACACAAGTACAGAAAGGAACAAAATCAGCATAAAGTTTTTTCATAAATCAGGGATGGGTTAGCCTTTAATAAGTGGAGGTAGCAACAGGGAGGAAGATAGGGTCTCTGGGTTTCTATTAAATTCTTGATCTGGATCTGGTTACTGGGACATGTGCTATTATGCAAATTCATGTGACTATTCACTTGTAATATGTATTTTTCCACAGGGGTGTTATATTTCAATAGAAAAATTAAAATAAAACAAAATAACACCTTGTCAAATAGTTTTTCCTAGATCATCCAGTCTACACCCACCCTTCTGCTAAGTTACTCTTTCTCATCCCATGACCCTGTTTGAGTTTCTTCAGAGCATTTGTGACTAGCTGAAATCATCTTCAATACTGATACATGTGTACAGCCTTACCCTTCCCCACCCTCATTAAAGTATCACATGGCCACAGGCTCTATCTTCCTCATTCACTGCCTCCAAAACCATGGGCCTGGAACAGTGCTACTAGATGGTATGGGCTCAATTCTAAAAAAGTATTTAAAGGGGCCAGCAGGTAGCATAGTGGCTAAGGCACTGGACTCCCACATGGGCCACCATGGTTCAAGACCCAGACCCGATGGCTTAAAATTCACAACAGCATGTGTGCATGTCCAAAATCCCAAGAGGAGAATGGAAGAGAAGGGATTGAGGTGTGGCCATACCCACTGTAGGGTGATTTCTAGCTTTCTGTTTCTGTCTCTCTGGCAAGCATATACAACCTAAAGCAAAAACCTCTCAAAAAAAAAAAAAAGTATGTAAAAATTTTTAAAATGGCTATAAGAATACAGCATCACTCAGAAGTCAAAACAGTGAAGCTAATAACAGAGGCAAAAAAAAAAAAAAAAAAAACCAGAGGCGAGCAGATGGCATGGTGGTTAAGCTGCTAGATTCCAACATGGCCAACCGAATATTGTTGGAGTCCTGGACCAAGTGGCTTGCTTTCTCACATTTACTCTCTCTCTCTGGTCAAGTTTTAAAAAATAATAATTAGTAAAATTAATCTTTAAAAACAAAAACAAATAAAAAAAACTCAGGAAAAAAAGAAAAAGACTTCCTGATATGTGTTAAATGTTAAATTTAACCATATGAAAGGAGTAGGTAAAGTGTCATTTTATGGGTATCTTTTTAAGACCCATTAATGTTAATTCTTAAAGCAGAAACTGGGTATTTTATCTCTGTTTCCCAAGTGTTTTCACAACTCCTGGTACAAAATAGGTCTATGCTAAGAGTGGCAACAGATTACTGAGACACTTGGGGGGTATTCTTAAATTTGGTGGGGAAAATGGGCCATGTCTGAGTATAGTGTCTGCTATGGCAAAGAGCTAGGACGTGAAGGACAGTATCAAATTGAACATGGAGTAGAGGCTAAGAAGTACCCAAAACTTTAAAATAAGAGTTCCTTACACTTCATAAGAAATATTCCACTATTTTTATTGCTTTCTAAGATGTCTATAAAGAAAAAAATCAGTATATCAGGAGTGCTAGTAACTTGGATATTAAGTAGTTATTTTTTATTTATTTATTTTTTTGAAGAGGTTTTTGCTACAGGGCATGTGCGCTCACCAGACATAGAGAGACAGAGAGACAGAAAGTGAGATATCACCCCCCAGGGGGGGTGGCCACGCCACAATCCCTTCTCCTCCATTCTCCTCTCGGGATCTTGGGCACACATGCACGCATGCCCGGCATGAGTTTAAGCCACCGGGTCTGGGACGCGAACCCCTGTCGACTACATGGGAGTCCAGCGACATAGCCATTATGCTAACTGCTGGTCCCTGTTATGTGGTTATTATTGGTGAGCAGACTAATTTACATGCTGACAAAATGTATTTTCACAAGGAAACCTACATTCACTAGACTGTTGTAATGGAAACTAAAAGGTAAACCTTTACATTTTCTATATAACCTTCAATAAGTTATTCAGCTTCTCTAGACTCAATTTTCCTACCCCTGAAATGAGTTGATTGGTTTAGGTGTTTGCTAATGCTCACTTGATTCTTAGACACTGTGTTTAATTCCTAATTTAAAAAGAAAAAATCTTATCTTCTAAGTTTTATGTGTATAGCATAATAAATCATCCGCAAGTATATAAATCAAAGTGAGGTAACAGATCATCTTACCCAGTCTTTGTCAAACCAAGGGTATCTCTCTATTCCGAAACAGATCCTCTCAAGTGTCATGTTCAGTCTCTCATTTCTTGTTTAGGCAGGAAGCCTTAATACACTTCAGCTAAATAACCTGCATTTTAGAATTCTCAGTACAATTACTTCCTTTTCTTGAACTTTCATTGCCCTGAGCTCCATGTTTCTCATCATCTCAAGTCTACACTCATAGCTCGCAACACAGTTCTTGTTTTTTTATAACACTTAAATAATGAATAGGACTTGATCACCTGGAGGTGTTCTCCTTACTCTATAACAACAGTTATTAGTGATTTTTAATTAGACAAAACCACCATTCCTCTTGCTATCCTACCATAATGACAAGTGCCTATTAAGGATATTACAGTAATAAGTATTAGCACCTTTTAAATTTACATTAACAATAACAGAGAAATGGGAAGTCAGGAAATGAGAGAATTTTTAAAACCTCACAGATGTCATAATTAACGAAAGCATAGTTAACTCAAAAAATTTTAGTAGCTACTTAAAAAAATGTTTTTTAAACCTATACTGTGCATATCCTGGTTAAAATGGCATGATTTGTCCTCTGGCTCTCATCAACTAAAGATGGAGAAAATGGACCAGGTCGTAGCTCTGCTGTGGCTGAGCCCCATGTGTGCTTTCTTCAAATGGGGTGTAAAGCCACTAAGTCAAATGACTGGTTTCCCCAGGCTTCAACACCAACTGAAGACTTCCCCAGAGGCTAACTTCGGTGAAGTCTGTCACCTGCAGATGGTAAAATCTACTGAAGGCCAAGTTTGATGAGCTTTTCAGGTGTCACCACTGGCCTCTTCAGTTTTATTTTTAACAAACGAGGAAACAGTGGCCAAATGGTCTGCCCGTTTTAAGTTTTAGTAACGGACTGATTACTCTCTGAAAGGAACAGGTGTTCCCATTTTTTTCCCCTTGACTCCTGCATTTCACTGACTCGGGCGCCCCAGAAGTCAAGGGAAGCAGGCAGCCCACAGAAGGTTCACTCCTGGACGTGAGGTACTAACAACTCATTGGGCTGGGGTGGGTGGCATGGTTATCACGTGGCCTAACAAGTGCACTCAAGGTAGAGACGTTTCTATAGCAGAGTTCGTGATAAAACCTCAGGGCTCCAAAACCGAGTCTGAGGAACTTTTCTTAAACTTGCATCCAGTGCCTTCTACGGTGCCGGGCGCCGCCACCAGGAGCTGGGGGTGCCGGCGTCTGCGACTCCTGAGAGCTGGCTCTCACGCTGGGGCACCCAGGGTGCACCCCGCTTCGGCCTTCGGCCCCACACCCGGGCGGAGAGCGCGACGGTTCCTCCTGCGCCCAAGGCGCAGCACCCCGCCGTGTCCTGAGGGGAAACCCGCGGGCAGGGCAGCAGGGGTACAGGAGCAGGAGAGGAGAGTCCGGGTAGGCGGGCACCGCTGCCAGCGCCTTCCCCGCGGCTCTGTCACAGGGCCGCGCTCACCTGGGACCTGGCGGCCAGGAACTGCGGCCGGAGAGCTAGGTCTCGCAGAAGTTTCCCGGCCTGCGCTGCCACGGGGGACGCCATCTTTAACAGGAAGCCTGGCGCGGGGGAGTCAGAGTGAGCGCCTGCGAGGAGAGGGCGGGGCATAAAGAGGAGGAGGCGGGGCAGGGCAGGAAGAGGAGGCGGGGCAGAAGAAGTGGAGGCGGAAAAAAAAAAGGAGGCGAGGAGGCTAGGGGAGGCGAGGAGGCGGGAAGGGGAGGAGGCGAGGCAGAGGGGGAAGGAGGCGGGGCAAAGTAGGAGGAGGCGGGGCAGGGAAGGAGAGGCAATGGGAAGGTGGACGAGGAGGGTCCGGCCCTGCCCCTCCGCCTGGGGCAGCTCGCGTGCCCGAGGGACGCAAGCAGTGGTTGGACTTTCAAGCCGGTCCTCCACCTCGACTCCAAGTTCACTTTTTGCAATCAGGAGACCTATTAACTTTCTCACTGTGTTATTCACGGGTTGCCATTAGGAGCAAAAATAGATCTCGAGCCCTACGGTCTTAGGGCCTTTAACCTATCCAAGAAGGCAGAAGGACCAGCAAATAATCTTCAGTGCAGAAGTGCTCCAAGGACAGACCCGCGGAGCTGACACAATCCAACCAAGACCTCTGGTCTAGTTCTGGGGTTACAGAGGCCTATCTAGGGAGTCGGATTTGAACTTAGACCTGAAGGAATAGAGTGGTAGAGATCCTTCAGTCCAAGGTTGGGGGAGGTGTGGGGCTCCCTATCCCTTAAGTGAGATTTTCTGTAACCTGAAAACCAACCCAAAGTTACTGAAAGGTTTTAGGGCCAGTAATCATAAGATGGTAAGAGCACACATGTATTTGGAGTTCGCGTGATCTTAAGCTTTGTAAGTGTAGTAAGAAGGACCCCGGAGAGCACGCTGAATATGTGCCAGGGGCAGTAAATGCAAACTCAGTTAGCGCAAATGTACACCCCGTTTTATGGAAGAGGAAACTGAAGCACAGAGAGGTTAACTTGCTCAAGGTCACGGATCTGGTCAGGATTGTAGGTGAATTTCAAATTTGCACCTTTCCTTGGCCCCCAATTAATCACTATCTTAGAATTTTCTTTATCCTTACTCATTCTTGAGTATGTGATCATGAGAAAAAAGTACAATATAGCCAAAAGTTGGCAACTGTTACTACTAGTTTCTTTCTTCCTGTACTCCCCTCTATTTTAAACTTTGTTTTAAAAAGTTTCAAATTTACAGAAAAGTTACAATAATTTTACCCACAAATGCCCAAATAGCCTTTATTCAAATTTACCAATGATTTACAGGTCCCATTTTCCATCCTTAAGAGAGATTATGAACATATACATATTGATCTATTGCCATTTCCAGTCAAAATATCACCCATTAGATTTAGCATCTGTTGATTATCACTTGAATCAGTCATTACGTGATAATTATCTAACTTCATCGTTCTACCTTTACTAGTTTGCTTGCATCTCTGAGAAGAGCTTCACTTTCTTCCCATTTTTTTTTTCCCCCATTGGTAGAGGACACATGACTTGCTGGAAAGAGAGGAAGAAGGGAAAAGAACCCAGTGGGGCATGGGTATGGTCATGTCTTAATTCTTTCTCTTCCATTTCTCCATCTTGTTGGGATTTGGGGCACTCACACATATACCCTGGATCAGAGCATTTTTCAGACCACGAGGACCAGGATTCAAACTACAGTCAACCATGTAGAATCCACTTCCCCTAACCTCTACATTCTGATTCCAGCCCCTCACATTTTTTTAAGAGAGGTTTTGGGGTTTTGTTTGTTTATTTTGCTATAGGGTGTATGCGCTCGCTGGAGAGATAGAAAGAGATAGAGAGACAGAAAGTGAGAAATCACCACCACCACCACCACCCTGGGGGGATGGCCACGCCACAATTCCTTTTCCTCCTTTCTCCTCTCAGGATTTTGGGCATGCATGCGTACACACCCAGCATGAGTTTGAAGCCACCAGTCCAGGACTAGAACAGCAGTCAGCCATGTGGGAGTCCAGTGGCGTAACCATTATGCTATCTGCTGGTCCCAGCCCCCTTATTTTAAAATTTATATTTCTATTCATGTGCGTCAGTATGGACTCATGATTTTTTTTTTTTGGAGAGATTTTTTTTTGCTATAGGGCGCGTGCGCTCGCCAGACAGAGAGAGACATAGAGACAGAAAGCGAGAAATCACCCCCCCAGGGGGGATTGTCATGCCGCAGTCCCTTCTCCATTCTCCTCTGGGAATCTTGGGCACGCACGCACACGCGCCCGGTGTGAGTTTTAAGCCACCGGGTCTGGGACGTGAACCGCGGTCAACTACATGAGAGTCCAGCGACATAGCCATTACGCTAACTGCTGGTTCCTGGACTCATGAATTCTTTTCATCTAGTGGCATCTCTTTTCAGAGAAAGAACTAGAGCACAAGACAGTTCCACGTGGCATTTACATGTCCCCAAGGTCATGTTACTTACCCAGTTTGAGACTGGATCCTCCAAATCCAGAATCTAATCACTCTGCTCCACACCCTCCTTTTGACATGAGTAGATTTTAATTTCCATCTCATTATTACCCCTACTAAGTCTGCCATCTAACCAATGAAGCTGTAACACTTGTTAATATTTACAGAGTGAATGTTTAAACTCAATAAGAGCTTCGAATGTGTTGCGAAAAGGAGAAAGACCACCTGCTGAATTAATCAAAACTTATTTATTCAGACCTGACTCTGCTAAGGGAGTAGGCTAGGACCACTTCGCTTCCAAAGAGGACTACAAAGAGTTTGAAAGCAGTATGTGTTTTTTAGTGAGAAAAGAGAGCCCTTTGGACAGTTATTGATTGGTGAGTGTTCTTTTAGGATGGGATTTTGGAAGTAGTGTAGAGAGAAGCTTTGTGATTCACACTGAGGTAGATTTGGAGCTTTCGGTTCACTAGCTACTGGTGATGTTCAGGCTAGATAGTGTCATAGGAGTTTTCCTGTTTCACTTTAAACACCATCTGTTCCTCAGCTCTTGGGCCCAAATCTTGCATCAGCAATTTGTCAATATCTACTCACATTCTCCCATTCTGCCTTCTCTGTAGCAAGGAGATGGAGGAGAAGAGGCAGGAGGAGGAAAGAAAAATGACCATTCATATGGCATCTCTAGTGCTCAGCACTGGGCCTGGATAAACTCATGTGACTGCATCATCCTTGCTGACTTCCTGCTAAGATTTCTCCTTATTTCATACCTTTTCTTCCTCCTTCAACTCCCATCCCCAGTAGGAAGCTATTTGAGGTCTGGGAATCTGTACTCAACCAAAAAGTGTTTCACTGCACTTCACTGAGACAAGCACTGGGTTTTTAGCCAAACTGGACTGGATGCAAATCCCACCTCTATCCTTATAAACCTCAGACTGAAGAAGTACCTGCTTCATAGGGTGTTAGGAAGTGGTCAGTGAAATGTCATATGTAAAGACTTTGTATGTAGTGGGAGCTTAATAAGTATTATTTTTCTTCCTGTAGTGAATTCGTTGTTTGATAGCCCAGCCTTGGTGGTGCAGGAGAAGCCCACTGCTCTGCAATGCTGGAAGCCATGCAGGATCAGGATTTAGTTCCCAGGTAGGCCTATACATGCCAGGTGTGCACACCTGCCTATAATCCTGGCTGACTGGGAAAGCACTCTCTTTTTCTCTCATTCTCCCCATCTCACGAAACAAAAAGATAAAATTTAAACATAATAATAATAGTCAAATAAATACTTGTTTAAAATTGTATGTGAAACATGAGCCAAATGGAGATGCAGATTAGAAGGTCCCTGACATGGTAATTTATATAGACAATGCTGAAGTGTTCTGGCGATGTATAAATGCCATACAAAAGTACTAAAAGTCTAAAGTGGTTGCCTCCAGGAAGAGAGAAGAGAGTAATGGTTAGGGAACCATTATATTTTGTTTTAGAGCTTCAAAAATTCAAATTCCTGTGGAACCAGAAGTTAGTGTAATGGAGCTGGACTCACATGTAGTCAACCGCGGTTCAAGTCCCGGACCCAGTGGCTTAAACTCACGCCGGGCGCGTGTGCGTGCGTGCCCAAGATCCCGAGAGGAGAATGGAGGAGAAGGGATTGTGGTGTGACCATCCCCCCTGAGGGGTGATTTCTCGCTTTCTGTTCTCTGTCAGTGCCTCCAATCTACCATGTTTTCATCCTTGACTAAGAAATCTTTTTATGTGTTTATTTATTTAGTATTTACATCTGCAAAACTCAGTTCCCCCCAAATGAAGCACACAGGTACAATAGCATTTTATTTGAGCTAGGAGTCAACCATGTAGCACTTTTTATAAACTTGCATATGTTTGATGTGTTGAGTTCCAAAACTCCTTTTGGAGTTTTGTATTTAGAACACCCTGCTTACACTGTTTCTTACACAGTTAATATTTTCAAGAAGGAAAACAAAAAAACACATGACTTCTCTTTCATCTTAGCAATGCCTGTTAATGGTGAAATAATGTGCTCATTTTCATACCCACACTGATTACTCAAGGGACTCTTACTTGCCAGAGACTTGTCACAAAACTTAGCAAAAGGCTAGTGCATCTAGTGATTCCAATGGTTGTTTACCATTACCTTTTCATTTAAGCATAAAAACAATTTGACAAATATGAACTCATTTTAACCAGTGGGGCTGAATAGAATTGTTTTAAAAACCACCCTAATTTTCATGAATTACATATTTGAGTTCATGCTGCTCCATGTCAGGAATGAAAAATCACTATTACAATGAAGAAATAAAGGACATTTGTGGGTTTTGTCTGGTTATTTCTTTTTTAGTTGATAACAGATTTCTTTAATTTATGGGAGAAGAAATTCTATCCTCTCATGGTCCATAGGTCATATCCTGTTGCTGTTTGTGACAGCCATTTTAACCAGTGCCTCAGTTATGATATTTGCTGGTGGCACAGAAAGAACTTCCATTGTGCTAAAGTTATTTTTCTCTATTCAATAATGCATTAACATGATTAATTTTGATGGCATTTCTCAGCAGCTTATTTAAATGATAAAGTACCCAGAAGAAAGACATCTAAAACTAAAAGTGTCTCCTTTGCCAAAACTATAGTGGACTCAAAAAGACATTCTCACTACATCCTGGAGAGAGTTCAGG